AAAAAAACCGACAGCAACTTGTCTGTTCCCCTTCCCCCAATTCCCCAATAAAAATCTTTAAAAAAAAAAAAAAAGTAGAGGGGGGAAAAAATGGCTCAGGAACAATCTGCAATTAAGTAGCTTGACAAATGACATATATGGCCAAGTGGTGTTCTTTGACATTAGAAAGTAACTGTACTTGAAAATAACTTTATAATTGAATAAGGGTACATTAGGAAAATATGATTCAGAACCAATATTATAGTAATCAGATAAAAGAAGCATAAATGAAATAACTGCAGGAAGAATATTTCCATAGAGATTATAAATGAGATTCTGGTGGAGCAGAAAGGCCTTTAATTGTAATTTAGTGTGCACTGTAGAATTATCAGCTCAGTGTGTTACTTCATCATATAAAAGAATATCTGATAATTTCCCCTAATAAGCACATGACAGCTCTTCATATTCCTTTATTATAGCTGATTAAGTATAAAAACAGTGGCTATGTCTTTGTTGGGAAAAGAATTCAAAATCTTTTGAAGAAAGACAGCACAAAGCAGTTGCATTTCGATAGCATGTGATCTCAAAAGGCTATTATTTAGAAAGTCTGGGGAATTTTAAGTGGCATGTTAAAGAACTCTTCACTTTAGTTTCTTTAATCCTCCACTTTGTATTCTCATTTTTACCCATGAAACCTTTCTCTGTGGAGCCACATCCTCCTGTAGTTCAGGCTGTGGCTTGTGATGTCTCCTACATCACACAAAAGAAAGCCAAAATCATGGGGAGTTTCTGCTACTGGGAAAAGCCCTCTTGGTGTTTTTCTTGGCGTTTTCCAACCAGGCAACTCTAAAAGGATAAGGAAGGACACGGGTGTGATTCCCAGATCAGGAACCTGGGGATAAAAGTGAGCTGTCATTCTCTTCCTGGGCTCTACGATACACCCAATTATTCACTCCCTGTCTTTAAGTCTGGAACTGACCATCGTATTGTCACAGTCACATAGGTGAAGACAGGCTCTAATATGAGGCAAGGCACTTCTTGCCCTTCCCCGTCCCCATTCAGTCATTTCTGCTCCATCCACCTCCTACATTCCCAAAAGTCTCATGAATATATAGCCCTGGTGAGAAGTAAAGGGGATTGTTACTACGTATGCAGGCTGGACATTCCAGAATTTTGTGATTACTTCCCCGACTACTGTTGGGCTCCTACATAAGAGCCAGTGGCAGAGGGTTGAAAGGATGTCAGACTCTTTGTGGGTGCTAAGAAGCCCTGAAAGAAATGGCTGGAATTATTGACTTCATTTGTTCCAACCTAGCAACCAAGAGAGGAGGAAGCGGTCTTCATGTATCAGCACACCAGACTAGACACTTTCTATGGTGTTCTCTCATTTAGTTCTCAAAGGAGCCCAGGGAGAGGGAGCTTCCCAAGTCCGCGTTATAGATAAGAAATCCAGGCTCAAAGACCAGTAATAACCCGCCTCAGGTCATTCAGCTGGTTAGTGATAGAAACTGTTAAGATACAAACCCATGGTATTCCCATCTTTAGGATCTTTTAAATGTACTCTCTGGGCTATTACTGGGTCAGGATAAATGGATGGGAAACAAAGATGAGTAAAACCATGAACCCAGGAATAACTAAATCACGTATTCCTCTCAGGTTCTTGACAAAACAAAGGGCTTCTTAAAATGCCTTTTTGTTTTGTTTTGTTTAGCTCCTTATGTGAAATGGAAATAGTGCAAACCGCTTAACAAAAATTCTTCCTTCTTAAAGAGGGGTGCTACACAGTGCAAGTAGAAAAGCTTTTCTGCAGTCTTGTCATTCACAACACATGGTGCTATGTCTGGGCAGAGTCAGATGGTCTGACCTTGGGGATAGGTGTTTGAAACTGGCTAATGAGGCATGCCATAAGCACTGGGGAAGAAAAAAAAAAAACAGGAAAAGCACAGCCCCAAAGAATTGAATTAATACCCACAGCAGCATAGCACAGTAGACAAAATCATTCTCACAGGGTCAATTAGAACTTGATGTTGTGTCTCCACAGTTCTCTCTAGGCTTGGCATGTGGTTGGAGCTCAATACAGATGTTTGAATGAATAAATGTTGGAATGCACAGATTCATTCCTTAAATTTTGTCAGTTTTTGGTCTTCTAATAAAATTTTTCAGAGGGCCCTGAATGTTCTGAGGTAAAATAAAGCCAATGCTCATTTAAATATAAGCATTCCTGTGGTCCTTTTCCTGTGGTCATTAGCCCCTTCTTGAATGAATGTACAGCAGGTCCTCAAATCACGCACGTCATTTTGTTGAACACTGCTTTGCTATAACATTGATGAGGAAAAAAAAAATCAATTCCCAGCTGGGGCCACTGTCTGTGTGAAGTTTGTACATTCTCCCCATGTCTGTGTGGGTTTTCTCCTGGTACCTTAGTTTCCTTCCACATCCCAAAGATGTGCAACTGACGTGAATTGGTGTGTCTAAATTGTCCCAGTCTTAATATGTGTGAGTGTGTCCTCCGATAGAAGGGCGTGCTGTCCAGGGTTCGTCTCTCCTTGTGCCTTTAGCTGCCGTGATAGGCTCCGGTCACTTGTGATCCTGAACTAGAATAAACAGGTTGGAAAATAATCTTACTTTTTTATTAATCTTTCTTAAATATACATATAGCTCACATTTATTTTAATGTTTAATATTAGAAATGTTTTGGGTCTTTATTTAAAAGTTTGGTGAGGGCCAGCCGAGTGGTGCAATGGTTAAGAACTGGCTTGGGACGCCGGAGGGCCCCATTTCGGATCCCACGTATGAGGGCCAGTGACACTGCCCTCTACAGCTAAGATGCTGAACAACAGCTCAACCTGGAGCTGGGCTGCCGTGGGTCGCCGGGGACGGCGTAGGCTGCAGCCTCTGTGGCAGTGGGTTGCCATGGGCTGCCGTGTGTAGCCAGCAGCCAGCGTGAGCGGCCAGCAGCCGCAGTGAGCGGCCGTCCAGAAGCCGGCGACTGATCTGCCTCGCCCAGGAAGAGCACAATGATGGTGCCAACTTGGGCCAGTGAAGCGATGTCCTCCACAACTAGACTGAAGAACAAAACGACAGCAACTTGTGTGTTCCCCTTCCCCCAATTCCCCAGCACTGTTCCCATCCCCCCAATTCTCCAATAAAAATCTTAAAAAAAAAAAAAGTTTGGTGATGTTTTTATTACCAGAAATATGCCTTAGGAACTTAACTCTTACTTATATCAATTAGCCTATGGTAAAATTGGTTTTGTTATAAATTGTTTTGCTTGAAGTGGCAGTTTCCAAGAATGTATCGACAATGTTAAGTGAGGACTTACTATACTCCTAAAGAAAGACATTCAATCAAGATGTTGGTTTTAGTTTAGTGGAAGGCAAGCTTTTACCCTAAGATCATTTGATCAATGATGGATCGATTGATACATAGTCAGACATATCTGTGTTTATTCATATTTAATAAGCTCTTTATTATCCATCTTGCTTCGGGAACAAGGAATAGTTCTAGTTAATCAAGTATTCTGGTTAATAGTTGACCCAAGGGGATTGTCATCTTATAAGAAATTGAGTTGTGGTAATATGCACTTAAACACAACTTTGGTCATCATTTTTGATGATGTAGAAGTCCCTTGAGCATCCTTTAGTGTCACAGATCCACCATGGAGGCGCATCAACATCACTTGTCATTGTACCATGCAATATGGTGGTGCTGTTGGTAAGAGACAGCTATCTGGCTAGGTTCCATCTATTTACCAAACGGAGAGAGAGGATTTATAGTCTGCCTTGCCTCAGAAAGCATTTATGATGGTAGTTGGGTATAGTGATTATTTTACCCGCTTGCAGACATAATTATTGTTTCTTCCAGGAAGATCTCCAACACTTGGCTCAGCACTGGCTGGTTCACAATGACGATTGCACTGGAGCTCTGTGACAGGATCGATGTTTATGGCATGGTGCCCCCAGACTTCTGCAGGTAGGATTTATTCTAGAAATGTAATTCATCAGCAGTGTTGTGCAGGGTTTATAAATATATGATTCCAAATATCAACCACAAAACATGTCTGTCTTCTTGAAGCAATTAATTAACATGTCCCAAGTTCTGGTTCTAGAAACAACAAACAGCATTTAATTATGTGATATAAAATATTGAAAGTTTTGTTTGTACTGCTGGAGAAGTAATCCATCTTGTGGGCTTTATTTATCCTCTGAATATTTATCAACCAAAACTAATGCAATAATTGGCATAATATTAATGATGAACAAGCATTAAGAAATATTAGCTTTATTCTCATTTGAAAGGAATGTAGTAATTTTTAATGAATTAAAGAGGGTAATTTCTTTGACGATAATGCCTGTTTTCTAAAATTAAAATATTCCTTTGAGCCTCTTTCTCTCACCACATCAGTAGCCTCGGTTTTTGGCTTCTAAGGCCAAAACACAGGCATAATTATTTTGATGTATCACTTTAAAGGGAACATACACACATCTCTGTTGCTATTGTAAGTTACCTCCTGGCATGTGCCCGGGCAGAGTTCGGTGTGAACTAACAAATGTACTGATTTGCAGAAGCCTGATTGAGGACTCATCTGTAATTTAAAGTCATGAAGCCTGTAAATTCAGAGAGTGCCTTATATTCAGGAATGCCTGCTGGCCCACACATGGCCTCAGTCGTGTCTTCAAATGGTAAAACCTGGGATGGAGGGGTATTTTAAACTTGCTCTTTAGAATTTATGCTTGTTTCATGTGTTTTAAACCTAACAACTTCTCAAAGGCCATTGGGCCTTTATGCAAAATCTACAATTTTGAGGTTTGAAGCGGGGATGAGAAAGAGTTAATCATGCCATTACCACTTGGCCACTTTTCTCCCACTCTTTTTAACCCCAAGGCCCAACACAGCAGCAGTAATAGTTTTTGTGTAAGAGTCAGGTGGCAGAGGAGAAGGAAAGGTGTGGACAAAGCAAGCCTTTCATATGTGCGTGGACTCATTTGTCCCCAGGGGTGACATAATACAGTGAGGAAGGGTGTAGAGTTTGGAGCCAGACTGCACAGGTTCAAAGCCCAGCCTGCCCACTTACTAACTTAGCATGACCTTGAACTTGTTACTCAATCTCTGTGTGTCTCAGCTTCCTCAATATGAGAAGTCGATGTGATGATAATAATAGATTCTGCCTCATAGGGTTGTAGGTGGATTAATTAAGTTAGTTAATACATGTAAAGTGCTTGGAACAGGGCCTCGTACATGGCAAGAGTTAGCTTGGATTCTCACCCAGTTCCTCATCACTTAATTCACTGGCCTTGTTTCCCCGTTTAACATTCTGTGTGCAAAAAGTAAGGAGGTGTAAGAAAGCAAACTGCCTCCTAAAATCAACAGGCTAACAAAAACAGTGGGAGCGGCACTTATGAGCATACAAAGAGCTGTCAAAGCTGATGATTATATGGCAGATATAATTATGTAATATTTCCATTAGGACACCAGAGAGAAAGCGCATGAATAAATTGAAATGTTAATGACTTAGAGTGCTCAAGGAAATATTCCATTTATTATGGAAAATAAATGAAAGGCAAGTTAACGTCTCATTTCTCTTACTCAGAAATAGTTCATCAAGACGTCTTGTATGTAGGATGGAAACAATTTATGGAATGGCATTAACAAGTAAGTTAAGATAATGTCAGTGCACCATACAAATATGTTGCCACCTGCTCTGGGTTTCTGTTTCTCAGCCACCATTCAAAAGGTTTGATAGTTGCTCTCACAAGATGCTTTCAGCAAGAACTCTACAAAAGGATCCACAAGCCCAGCGTCCTGTCAGAGAAAGTGGAGAATTGTGCTGGGTGTCATTTGGAGGAGATAGTTCGGCTAGAAAGAGCATCCTGCTCAATTGTGATGCCTGTTTATGGAGCGTGAGACAGGAAGAACCAGGAGCAGCACAGACTGATGCCCAAGTTCCTTTAATATTCATTCCAAGGCATGTTGGCTGAACCACCAGGCACCCGGTTCCTAACTGGGTGATCTTGAGCCTTGCTTTCTTCATCTGCAAAACGGGGGTAAAAAAATAAGAGCAAGCAGGTCATGGTGAGGGTTAAATAACATCATGGATGTAGAAGGGCCGGCTGAGTAGCTCGGTTGGTTAAGAGCTCGCTCAAGAGTGTGAGCTCTGAGCAATAGTGGTTCGATTCCTGGACCAAGCTGAGTTGCCACTGAGCTGCCAACAGGTGGCAGGATGGCTCAGTTAAAAAAAAAAAGATCATGGATGTAGAGCATCTAATACAGTGACCAACACACAATCAGTGCTCAGTAAAAATGATTATTATTACTAATCCATTAATATTATACTGTAAGATATATGAAATTATTATTATTATTATTATTATTATTATTATTATTATTATTATAAGTACTTGAGATTTGCCCTGAAAGGTACCAAGAATTTAGGGCTGTTCAAAGAATAGGACACAGCTTTGTGTCCTAGAGGCTCACAATAAACCCTACCCACACCAAAAAACAGTGAACACAGCAAAGCCTCTTAGAGTCAAACGACTCTTGCACACAGTGTCTGCCACCAAAGAGTGAAAAAGCAACTTGTAAGCCAGTCCCACCATTCTAACCTTTCCCACCTCTGCTTTTTTTTTTTTTTTTGGCCTGCTTCTCCCAGCTGCTCAACCCAGTTACCCAGCTGTCCTCCAGCAACAGAGGAGCAGGCAGGGACACCCAGGGCTCAAGTGCTGGGGGGACATGTCTCCTCTAAACAAGCAGGGCAGGGGGTCCCCAGGTCCTCGGGAGCATACTCTGATTGTGGGCAGCTGGAGAGAGGGGACTCTCTGCCCAGGATAGGCAACCCTGACACCCAACTAGCCAGTCAGGCAGCCTGGCCGCCCAGCACTCCCCCGCTTTCGTCTTTATTTGGAAGAAGCTACAACTGTCAGGGGCCGAGCAGGGCCCATGTGTCATGCAGGAGCTCTGGGGCATAAGGAAGATATCAACAGAGCCAAAAGTGGTACAGGAAGCTTTTGTGAGTTTTCAGAGCTCCAGTTGGTTGAGTCTACCAAAATGTAAACTCCTCCAAGACAGAGATATTTATGTATTTGGTGCACTGTTGGAACCCTCACGCAAGGACAGTGGCTATTTACCATGCTGGCCTGTAGCAGATGCTCCATAAATATCAAGTGAATGAATGGCCCTGGTCGCTACTCTCTCTTTAGTGCTGTGGTAAAACGGTGTTGCTGTGAGTGAAAGAACCATTTCTGTCTCTCGGAAGTTGTTGACCTTGAGGACGTTATTTGGCCCTACTGAGCTTTAGTGACTTTGGGCAAGCTACTTAATGATTGTCTCAGATGCCTGAGTTTCCATATCTGAAAGATGGTGACAGCAGTTCTTACCTGTAGGGTTTATGTGATAGTTCCACCGAGTAATAGATGAGGAGTGCTTGGCACGGCCTGGTGTAAGTTAAGCATGCATACATTTACCAGGTGAAGGGACTCATGAATCCACAAGTGTGAACAGCCATTAGCACATTGTGAGGAGATGTTCAGAGAGCACTGCACTAAGGCTACGGAGTGGTGCTCAGTGGTGAGGAGGCCTGGTTGCTGGCAAGGGGTACATACACAGCCCCTGTGTAAACTGGACCCCATTTCTCGTCACTGTGGAGAATTGGCTTCATGTGGCCTCCAGCCACTGCAGGACATCACACGAGGCTGCTCACGGTGTACCTGCCCCCACCGTTGCTTCTTCAGGTGCCCAGTTTTTCACAGGAATGAAGAGTTAGCCACATGACAAGACTTCAGCAAACAAAAAGAGAGCCAATTTTTCAGTTTTGGTACATGAACTTTTGGGAACTTAAGGTATGATTCGTACCCTCAAAAGAAGTCATTTACTACATTAATCAGAGAGACTTCCATTCATTCAAGTAGTTTGTGTTGGGCCCTGGGGATGTAATCAAAGAAGAATGAGACAGGGTCCTTGCCTTCAGTCGTCTGAGTGTCACAAATCTGACTCTATCTCCTAAATAAAGCCTTCAGTCGCTCCCCAAAGCTTTTAGAACAGAATGCACACTCCCTACCTCAGCACACAAGTCCCTCAGGACCCTGCTTCTGGGTTCACTTCAGTCTCACCGTCTCTGCTCACACAGACTTATTTTAGCCATACTGAGAGCTTTACAAAGGACCTCAGCCTGCAGATCCCAGCCCCTTTGCCTTCAGCTGGGAATGACCGTCCCTTCCTTGTTACCACTCATTCTTTGCTACGAATACTAATGGTTGATTAGTATTTTTTTTTCTGCGTAGACTATATGCCGGCCCCGCACTTAGTATGAATACATATGCCATTTCACCGAGCCTTTATGATAATCCCATGAGGTAAACATTATTATGATCATCATTTTATATAGGAAGCTTAAAGACATAAGACAGCTGACCAAGGTTGTAGGGCAGATGGTGTCTGAGCGAGGGTTTGAATTCTGTCTGCAGGGCTCAAGATCCAAAGCTCCTAACCCCTCACTTCACTGTTTCAGGAGGCGCAGGCTCTCCTCCCAGCTTCCTCTGACCTCCTGCTTGAGTCAGACCCCACCGGTGCCCCCCTGGGCCCTCTGCCACCTCCACTCCTGTCCCACCTCACTGACTGATCTGTCATTTGCCTGTAGGCTCCTTAAAATCAAGGGTTGTATCTCAATCAACATTTGTATCTTTAGCACTTGTCACTGTGTCTGGCACATAGTATGTATTCAGTATTGATTGGCTTAGTGAATACATTTTAAAATCCTTGCTTTCCTTAGCCATGTTTAAGAGACTGATTCTAAACTTATCTCAAGACCAAAAGTGTCAGGTGAATGAAAAGTGTAAGCAGCAAAGGGCCAATTCAGATTTCGAGGATCCTCAGAAGTCGGTGGTGGCCACGTGTTTCATTCTCAACCAGGGCCAGCCCTGGGTCCTCAAAGAGGTGCTCAGGCGTCAGGCATCGATCTCCATCCTGCCTTTATCACCAGAGTCCAGGCTCATCAGTGTTCAGAATGCTGGAGAAAATTAATCCCATGTTGCATCCTAGACAGCATCAAAATATATATTATTATGCAGACAGTAGACCCTTAAACCCTGTTATATCCATACAGGAAGCCATTCTCTCTGGGTAGACTATAAATTGCAGTGGAAAGGTCTGTTATCATTGCTTTCCAAACTAAGTTGCCCTGAGTATTTTTAATCTCATTTCCTATTGTAAATTATTTGCAATAATAATGGGCTAAGCATTTAAATTCTATCTAATAATCTTATTTCCGGTCATACTTAACACATTACCAAGTTTACAACTCTCAGTTACCCATTATTTCTTGAGTATTAATTAGAGGAGTAATGGCTCAGAGTGATCACTGTCACGGAACTAAATTAATATCTCATCCATAATGTGAAGGACATCTCAAAGGTATCGTGAATATCAGAGAGTTGATTCTGCTAGAATTATTAGCTAGTGAACATTTATAAAGCTGCCAGCGTAACCGGGAAAGTTCCTACCTGGCAACAGTGCACCGTGTAGAATCAGATGCTTATAGAGGACGGGTATGGAGTGGGAACACACCCATGTGGTTCACATTGTATGAAGTAGAAGTAGATTTAAAATATATTGCTGTATTTCTTTGTAGATGTGTATGGTCTCTTCTTTCTTTACCATAATTCGACCAGTCCCCGAGTGTTTTCATTACTTTCCTTCTCCCGCCTGTGGGTACCATTGACATTGACATAGTAGGAGAGGTTATGGCACCACCTGAGGTGCCTGGGTGGGTTGTGGGGCATGGGTTCAGGTGACTCACTTTGGCTCTTTGCCCCATGTAGGATAAACAGCTGTAGGCTCTTGGTGCTCAGTGTGCCCCAAATACACAGGAGCAAGAAATCAGGCAGCAGAATCAAGGTGGCTCAGTGGGTCTCATAGGCCTGAGGCAGATGTTTAGGAAAGCCTGTTGTAAGAACATTTTCATCTGAATGCTACATAGTGTTCCCACAGGCCCCCCGTGCAAGCCAATTTCAGAACAACGTAGACAACTTGACAGCTATTGATTCAACTCTATTCCTCAAGCATTTCCTACTGCTTACTGTATGCCAGGTACCACGCCAAGAATAGAAGCATGCTTAGAGGAAGTGTCTGAGAGCTCTAGAAAGAGACAGAGGTGCCATTCTTCTCTTATGGGTAGTCCAGCCCCCAGCCCAGAGAGCAGGGTTAGCCTAGATCATACCTGGAAACGGAAGTAGCCTCCCTTTCTCGTCAGTGTTATGAGGTTTCTTTCCAATTGTACAGCTTAGCTTTAGAAGACTCAAAAACGGAACACTGAGAACTCCTGCTGCCATTACCATCAGTAGGCAGGTTTGTAAATGAGCATGACGCCTCTGCTTCACTTCCTGACCAGCTGCACAGTGTCTGCCAAGCATGGGGCACCTCTATAGAGAGGTGCTTGGGGGAAATGCAGCAAGGACAAAGCTGTTGCCAACCCCAATGGGAACCTGGGGTGCCATTACGACAGGAGTGTTTCCAAGACACAGAGCCTCACCCTTAGAGGACAGCTTTAGTCCAAAACTGGGCCCTGAAACTTCCTCAGTTTCTCTATGCATGAGTTATCTCATCTGTAAAACAGGAGTAATTATAGTACCTCTCTCACTGGGACATTGTGAGGATTAAATAAGTTAGTCTATATGGAGTGCTGAGCACTGGGTTTGGGGCTGCAAGGGTCAAGTCTAGCAGCTTGGATGGTCCATACGTGAGGCTGTGTGCCTAAAGCCAGGCCCCCCAGGTGCCGATGCTCACCTATCAAGCAGAGCAGTGATACTTACCTTAGATGCCTGATGGGGAAGTAAAGGAGAGAATATAAGTACCAAGGCTGAGTGGGTGTTTCACTAAATCAGCCACCTGAAACCTGGCTGCATATTAGAATCTCCTAAAAGGAGCTTTTGAAGATTATTATATTAAAATTTTTTTGTTTGTTTTGAAACAGTTTTAGGCTTACAGAAAAAGTTGCAAAAATGGCTCCGAGTGTTCCTGTATACCCTTCACCCACCTTCCACTAATGTTAACATGTTGCATAATTATAGTCCAAATATCAAAACTAAGAAATTAACACCAGCACAGTATTCTTACCTAAACTACAGACTTCATTCAGATTTCAGCAGTTTTCTTTCTTCTGTCCTTCATCTCCTCCAGGACCCGATCCAGGGTCCCTTTGCATTTACTTCCAGTGTCTCCTTCATATCCTCCAATCTGTGACAGTCCCTCGGTCTTCCCTTACCTTTCATGACTTTGATGCTTTTGAAGAATTCTGGTCATTTTTGTAGGCTGTATGTCGCTCACTTTGGATTTGTGTGATGTTTTCTCATGATTAGATTGAGGCTGTGCATTACTAGAATGGATCCCACAGAAGTAATAAGCCTTTCTCAACATCTCATACCAAGAGGTACATGATGTCAAAATGTCTTATTAGTGGCCAAGTTAACCTTTATCACTTGCTTGAGGTGGTGTCTGCTGGATTTCCTCATTGTAAAGTTGCTAATTTCCCTTTCTCATTAATAAGTATCTTGGGGGAGATACTGTATGCAAATAACCTATTTCGCCTCATCTTTATTCCCACTAATGTTCTCTATTCATTGGTGCACCTTGACTGCAACAATTACTGTGCTTTTCTAATGGTGATTTTCTATTCCCTCCTTCTTTCTAGATTTAGTAATTGGAATTTTTCTGCTAGGAAATGCTGTTTCTTCTCGATCATTTAATTATTCAGTTATTTATTGACATTATCGTGGACTCATTTGTTTTATTTTATGGGCTTTATAATCCAATACTGCCATTAGTTATTTTGATACTCAAACTTAAGGCACTTTCTTAAATACCCATGCCTGGGCCTGTCTCCAAGTCAATTAAATCAGGATCAATGGAGGTGGAACACAGGCAACGGTATTTCATTAAAGCTCCCCATGTGCACTAAATGTTAGTTCTTTTACTCTCCCCACCTGCTTACATCATAAGGAAAAAAATCCTTCTTCCTGTTATGCTGCAGACTTGGTTCCCGCACTGGCCTTTGGCGTGCTGATGACAGCCTGCAGCCACTGGGTAACGGGCTCTGGGATCATCATACCCACCCTACCCTCACACCTTCTTTCTTTCAGCGCCCCTGGCCCAAACACAACCCTCCCTTTCCAACAGTAGCCCCCTGACCATTGATATTCTGCTGATATTTATTGTTCTTTTCACTGGGATCAGGTGAAGGAAGAAAAAAGCCATGGCAGCCTTTACGAAATCAGGTTTGAGGAAAGACCTAAGGAATTATGACCTTACAGGGGACGGGCTTTCTGAATGCAACAGTGAATTATGGCCGATGGCGGACTCACAGCTGGAGGACTGTTTCTGCAGTTGCGTGGGCTCTGCCTTCGCAGCCTCACAAAGCATGTTTCTGCCATTTGGACAGCATTTTAAAGGATAGAAACAACCCCCCACTTATTTGGACACTTTCAAAATCAAGAATTAAATGTATCGAATATGTAAACTTAATGCTCCCTTTAGGTGATCGATATGGACCAGATAAGTTTTCATCCAAAGAGATGGTCATCCTGAATAAGGAAATTGATCCGATAGCATCCTTTAGCTGGTTTACAATTTCTCTCTGTTCCGAGGTGCCAAATCAATCCCATGATTATTTTTAGAAACCTAATTGTTTCTTTAGTCAGATTGATGCCAAGGATATATCCAAAACTTAGATGAATCAGATTTAAAACCTGATCCATACTGGAATAAAAGCTTAACCCCAAGTATACCATGGCTGCATGAATGTGGCATAGTTCCACAAATTATACCTTATGAAATGGGAGATTTGTCTCACAACTTTGTATTTCTTTTTATTTATTTTTTTCTTCTAGTGGTCAGTTCCAACTTAACTTTTTCCTAGCATGCATTTTCTGTATTGAAAACACCCTCTATTAAAATGTTAAGGAGATTCCAATTTCTAAGGTAATTAAATAAGTGATATCTATAATAACTAGACTGCACAGTTTCTGATGTTTCATTATAGAACATAGTGATACTTTTGAGACAGGCATAATCGAGATGAAAAGTATTAATTCAGCACAGCATTCAACCAAGGATGAGGTAGGTTTAAATGCTGCATGAGAAAAAATAAATCTCTTTTCCTGGAAGAACTTTAACCTTAGAGGAGAAACAGCTCAAAGGTTTATTGTTGTCAGAGCCACAAACTCAACACCCCTCTTGATAAAAGACTTCGATCCCTGACCCTGGTAAAGTTGCTACTCTAAAAGCCATTTGGGTATTGATCTTCTCTGAAGAAAATGAATAGGTGTCTAGCAAGATGGACATCTTTGGGAAACCAAGTTACTGTACTTAGAGTAGAGCCCTTGTTACCAGAGAGGGGACCCCAGGACATCAGCACAGAAAGGTGGTTTGCAGAGACACCTGGGCCTTCTAAGAAAAAAGCTAAGAACAGCATAGTCTGCTACAAGTCCTGTTAGTGAGTGTAGCTCAAGGTAGGAAAGTTTATCTGTTGGGCTATCTTAACTAAGCTTATCATCTAGACTTCAAGACAGAAGAGGGGAGAGGACTGGCCTAGAATGGAAACCAGTCTGACACCAAGGTTCTTTGGGTTTTAGATACTTTAGTAGCCCTACAACAAGGGCACCCCCCAGCAACCCCATCCCACCCCACACACACACATTAATTCTATGCACACGACCTTGAAGAAATGAGCCAGTGTCTCTTATGTGAGTTGGAGACAGGGATATAGAAACGTGAAACTTTTGGGACTGTCAGGCTACACAGCACAAATTGAGGATTTGGAATTTCTGGACTTAGAGACTAGATTTGAGTACATCATCTATCTAGAACAACAAGAAAAAAATGGTGGCATCAGCCTGCTAACTTCTTTCTCTCTCATGGAATCAAACTAAGATCACCAGCTTTCTGTACCTGGAGGAGAAATTGTCTTTAGAGGCTTGCTGTGTAGCTGCTAACTCCGTATACATTTCTTTCAACAATAGAAAGTCAAAAGTTATTTGTTGAGCACCTACGAGGAACAAGACAAAGGCTTGCCCTCATGAACAGACATTAAGCAAAGAAACAACACCAGCAGTTTCAGAGAGTGTTTGACGCTGTAAAGAAAATAAGACCAAGTGAGAGGGAGCAAAGGGGGCAGGCATCAGGTAAAGAGTCGATTCCCAAAGCCGAAAGGAGCGAACTGATAAGGGCGTGTTCCAGCCAAGTGACTGCCCTCAAGTGCAGAGGCCTCAGGGTAGGGACAAGCTTGGAAGAGGTGACAATCAGGAAGGCCAGTGAGGCTGGCGCGGTGCTTAGTGAACAAGGTCAGGTGGGTTAGGAGAAGGCTCTGGGGAGGAGTGAGATTATGTAACACCCTATAGGCCCATACACTCTTAATATAACTGGGAGTCTCTGAAGGACTTGAGAGTTGAAAGGGGGAAGGAGAAGAATCCGTTTCTATTTTGTAAATACCTCTAGCCTGCTTGTGGTAAATAGACTTTATGAGGGCAAGAGTAGAAATCAGAACCCTAGTTGGCCTTACTAATATGCAGCTTTTGAATCCCAAAAGCCTGAACATCCTACAGTACACTTTCATTCCCTCTGTTTGATTATGACGGTCATTGCATTTATTTCACAACCTCAAAACCTCTCCACTTGCTTATTGCTTAAATGTCAGAACGAAAAAAAAAAAACACATTTGTTGAAATTCATTTAACTTGAAAATATTATTTGTGCTTATCAGCTTATTAAAGATAACATCTTACCTTATCAGTCAAAGGAGTTTTCTTTTTTCTCTGCTTTAATCAGTTATCTCATTTTCCTCCTCCAGGGATCCCAATCACCCTTCGGTACCTTATCATTATTATGAACCTTTTGGGCCAGATGAATGTACAATGTACCTCTCCCATGAGCGAGGGCGAAAGGGCAGTCATCACCGCTTTATCACAGAGAAACGAGTCTTTAAGAACTGGGCACGGACATTCAATATTCACTTTTTTCAACCAGACTGGAAACCAGAATCACTTGCTATAAATCATCCTGAGAATAAACCTGTGTTCTGAGGAATGAGAGTGCCAGACCTAAATCACAAGTATCCACCGTATCAGATACCGGGCGCTGAACTTCCTGAGCCACCGGACACAAAAAAGGAACAGAACTGGTACAGCAGGAAATAGCTTCTCTCCTCAAGAAGAACTATGTACAGATGCCTACAAGATATGACTACAAAGCAGTGCAGCTGGCTTAGAAGGGAAAGTTCCAGAACTAATATGTCTTAATGAATGTTGTCTCTTTCAAAAGGGGTTACCTTTGGAGCTGAACACTTGTTTCAGTGATGCTGCCATGGCTAAAAACATCTGGCATCTCTTCAAGCTTTGCCTTCGAAACTGAAACATGAGCAACTCAACAAATAATATTAGTTGTATCCCTTTATAGAAATGCCATGTCAAAAGACAATTTTTTATCAAGTTGTATCCTAACCTGATGTGTACCCTTTGTCATCTGTGGGACTCTGTGTGTGTGTGTGTGTGTGTGTGTGTGTGTGTGTGTGTGTGTGTGTGAGATTTGTAAACAAGCAGCCTGAAAGTATGGACATGGTTTCTAAAGAGCACATCTCCACTAACTTTCATAAAGCAAATGCCCAGTATTTATTTATTGAGAGTTTTGTAGTGTACTCTAGGCTAGTATTTTTATAGATTATTATGTGGTAATTTATCCTTATATTTATTTAGGCAATTTATCCTAAGTCTTGAATCTCAAACAATAGTTGGAAAATGCCTACAACCTGGTTGATGAGTTACTGTGTTCACATGCTCACTGCTAGCAGGCAACTGGTATTTGGCTTCAATATGGTGTCTTGTATTTTGAACCCTTAGCCTTCAGGAATAGCTAAGACATTGTCCAAGGGACAGAAATGCTCCAAATAACAAAACTGAAAACCAAAAACTGTGTCAGTAATACAAAAAGATACTAACAAGAGAAACTTAAAGATAGTTTTCTTGACTAATAATTGATGTAGGTCACTTCATTTAAGCCATAGTTTCCTCTTCTGCAAAATGATCTCACTGTACCAGATGACCTCTTCAGTTTCATTCCAAATCCCAAATTCTTTGAGCCTCTCATTGACCCATCATGGGGCTCCCACAGTAGCAGGAGCCTCTTTTAGGGGGATTTTTATATTCCCCTGTGACCTATCTCCCTCTTGTGGTTAAAACATACTTTCTCTGTGGTCCCCATTAGCTAAAATCTACTCCTTGCTTTTCTGGTGCTCCTTGCACCTGATATATATATATAGAGAGAGAGGGGGGGGGGGTTTCCATGGTTTTGCCTGGCTACAAGAGCAAGAAACTGCTCTTCTGTGAGTCGGTGAGAAGAGAATATAAGGAGATTTTCTATCATCTGACTCATTTATCCTATGAACTATTCAGATTCACTTGCTGCAAATCTTACATTACATTCATTGCCATTCCCTGGTCTGGGGGAGTATGAAGGACTTATTTTATTCAGAGCCGAGATCAGTTGGTATGAAAGATTTTCATTTAAGCAAATAATACTGTTCAAAAATAGTCTTTTAAAAACACAGCAGTGTTTTTTTTACACATGGCTTAGAAGGACTTAGTTTTTCTAGTGGCAAATTTGAAGGCACCAGCAAATATTATGTATGGAGACTGACATTATTTCACAGAACATGACCTGGCTTGTGATTATAGAGGCTTTCCCACATTACCACTTCTTTCCCCTGCCCTTAATTAGTATAAGATTCCATTCCTTTGCATTAGCTGGTACTGTTAATTATATGGAGTACTCTTGTTGAGAGGCAAACACAGTCTACATATTTATATAGTAAAAACAAAGTTGGTATTATTGTGGTGTGGCTGGAGATGTTAAAAGCCAGTACAATTGAAATGTCTGTCCACAATATACTGGAATGTGTTCTTCTCATTTTCTCATAGTTTGTAAAGGGAATTTTATTCTAGTATGACCTCTTCTACAGCATGGACTCTGACTACACAATACTTTATGGACATATGAAAAGCTTGTGAATTTTATATAACTGATTTATAGGGTACCCTTACTATCACTTGAAGAGATTATGTTGTTCAGATGTAGGGAACTATTTTAACTACTTTTATTTTTCTGGAATATTAGGAAGGCATACTTGGGAAATGCAAAGAGGTAGTCATATTACCTAGTCTAATAATATCTCAAATGTCTGTGTTATCTTCAAGCTTTAGAGTTTGTTTTTAAAAGACCCTCTGATAGCTCCTTCTTTTTTGGAACTTCCCCTCGCAACTCCTCTAAAGGGTGAAAAGCAACCAAATTCTGAAATTTCTGGCTTTACTGGGAAATATTTTAAATATACATGTAGCTAGGATATGTGAGTGTGTGAGTTTATATTTTTTAAAACATTGTATGAATAAATGTAAGGAATTGTCACTTAGGCAGTGGTTTTATTGTAGCATTTAAAGAAAATGCCTAGAATTCTGATAGATTGTGCTGATGGACCTGGTTATGGGCAATTGAATTCTTATATTGCCACTGTTTCATAAATATGTCTCGACACCATTCAATGCCATCAAACATCAACTCTGATATAACAGGTGACTACAAAACCATGTTTACAAACCCCAGTGATTTCAATATCTGATTGTGTCTGAAGCCTAAGTCATACTCGTTATGTTACAGACCTTTTTCTTCTCTCTCCAGCTGTGTCGTCAGCCTCCTCCTAGCTATAAGACAACAGTAATACAAGGCCACAGCTAGACGATCCAGGGTGTCTGTTATTTCAATGCAAGAACATTTGGCAGGGGCCATTACAATAGATAGCCATTATGGGCAAAGATACAGGAATTCACAAACAAAATCAATCACTTCAAATGGCCCATAAAAGGGGAATCTTACATTTAATATTCTATAGTAAATATTCACTCAAGAAAGCGTACATTAAAAGAACATTCTGAGGTAAATATTCAGTTGTGCTGTGTGGGGACTTCGCTCCGTGATTTTCATTATGGTTAATGGGTGTTTGGTAACTAAGTCCCCGTGTGTGATTAACCCTGGCATGTGTTCTGAAGGGCTAGACATGAGACCGAGCGATACAAGAACTTCCTAAGATTTCAGAGTCAGAGCTGTGCTTCAAAATATAAATGAAAGCAAAACACACAATATTATACCCAAAAGAGAAATGTGTGTGTGGGGTGTCTTGGAATCCTTAGGTTACTGCTACTAGATATATGTGAATCAGATCCCAAACAACCCCTCTCAAGATGGATTACCTTTGTTTTCAGAAATTCTCTCTATCACTGGTCTATTGGAGCTGCATTTAAATGGAAGGATATAACCTCATTTTGAGATCAAACCCCCCCCCCCAAAGATTAAAAATATTAATTTGGAAATGAATGTTAGGTAAAAGAAGAAGGGAAAAGCTAAAATTCGGTTAGAAGTAAGACAGTGTTACTTAAATGTACCTATTTATAATAGACCCAAATATTTGCCCTTATGTAGGAGTGACTTCATTTCAGAAATGCACCCTGGATTCCACTGAGGCCGTAATTCGGACTGTCAAGTACACCTACTCTGAGAGAAGGGCTACGTTCCTATTCTCTCTAAAGCACCATGAGCTTGGGGAAAGAGTTTGTATGCCTACATAGGGTCATGCCCCCATCCCAGAAACAATGATGGTGTCTGGGGGACAAGATATACCAGTAAGTTTAAACTGATCAGAGCCTACACCTGGAGCTGTGTATAGAGCTAAGCTCCCATAAACCACATGGTTAAGAGTGGAAGGGATTGATTTTCCAAAGACAATATGGGGCACAGTGGGAAAAGCAGGAAAGTGGATGCTGGGCTGCCAATGGCAAGTGTTTACTCCACTGGACCTAGAAGGCAGGTTGGAGACAGGAAAAAAAATTGTGGAGGGCAAGGCTTGCCAATAGATGGGGACACAAGGGAAGGGGCAGCACTCAAGGTGCAAGGAGCCACGTGAGTGAAGCCTGGAGCTGCCATAAATCCCCTGATGGAGCCAGAGCGTTAAGACGCACATGGAGCAGCTGTGAGAGATGAGGCTAGAACTAATACAGAGACCGTGGGTTCTGAATACAGGCTACGAAATGAGGACTAAACCTAGTAGTTAGTCAGAATTCAGAGAAAGGTTCCAGGCAAAATCACTTCAGTTGACCCTTGAACAACATGGGTTTGAATTACACGAGTCTACTTGTACATGGATTTTTTTCAATAAACACACTAAATGTATTTTTCTCTTCCTTATGATTTTCTTTATAACATTTCCTTTTCCGAAGCTTCCTTTATTGTAAGAATACAGTATGTAATACATATAACATTCAAAATCTTTTTTTTATTTTTTTATCAGCAAGTCTTCCAGTCAACAGTAGGCTATAACTAGTAAAGTTTTAGGGGAGTCAAAAGTTATGTGTGGATTTTCGACTGCGTGGGAGTTTGGCACCACGAACCCCTGTCTTGTTAAACGGTCAACTATACTTTAGGAGACTCATTTTGCATTGGTGACAATGAATCGGAAAAAGGCATTCCTGGAAGACCGTGGTAGTTCATGCAAGAGTTAAATGCATGCCGAACGGGGAAGCACTAAGCATGAAGACAAGAGAGGAATTGATGTGAAAGCTCTGTGCTTCTATTAGCTCGTAACCCTGTGCAATGAACTTTCAATTCTGTTGACTTATGCGAAGGAGGGAGAAAAATTTTAATATTTAATTGGCTTCCAACAAAGATCAAATTCCTGAAAGTTTTATTTTCAAAAGGGAAGAAACTACCTGTTGGGGAAAAAAAATAAGCCAATTGTTATGTAACTCATTATACAAGTCTGTCCCATCAAATGGTTAAATTACTTTAGAGTAAATGAGATGGAGTAAAGACATTTACTTACCAGGTAGGCTCCAGAGGCCTCCCTGGGGCACTCAGGTCAAAATTCCTCTCCTCCCTCCCGCAGAACATCGGCAGAACATCGGGTACAGATGTTGCGTATCAGCATACCTGTGAGCACCTGCATCACTCATTAAATTATGAGCAGGACAGAAACCCCTTCAATGTTGGCTGAAATAATTTCTTTCTCTCACTCCCTTTCCCAAGCATCTCTACTTGGATTCGAGCAGTGTGATAGGCGCTAGAGACATGGAGATGAATCCCAGCTTGACCTGAACCCAAGGAACCCCCATTTAGTGTGAGAAGTGAGACACAACAAATTCTGGGAGAGACATCTGAACAGGATACAATAAGAAGAGAGGTCAACTCCAGTGGTAAGATCAGAACATGCTTTATCAGAAGCAACACGTAACCCAAGTCTTAAAAGCCCAGGTGCCAGAGAGGGTGGGTAGGAAAAGGGAAAATCATTGAGTGGGAAGCACTTTCTGGACAAGTACATGTTTTAACATGGGGGAGGCCATAACAACTTTGACCTCATGGGTGTCTACAGAAATTGGCAGCCATATTTCTACAGCAGATTCAGAGCACCTTTCTGTCCTCACTGGGACTGAGTCATCATGAAAACAAGCCTTTCATATATATTTATTTATTTATTTAAGCTGAGCCATCCTGCCACCTGTTGGCAGCTCAGTGGCAACTCAGCTCGGGCCAGGACTCAAACCGCTATTGCTCAGAGCTCGCACTCTTGAGCAAGCTCTTAACCAACTGAGCCACTCAGCCGGCCTGCCTTTCATATATTCTTATTTAATTCTTACTACAGCGCTGTACAATAGAAACAATAGAATTCCAGTTTTATAGAAGATGGAGGTTTAGCAGTCTTTGAAAGGCACACAACTGGGAAGGGAGTAGAGAGTGGGCTTGTGAGATGCACTGGCTGACGGGCCTTCTGCTCCACTATAGTATACAGCTATTCCCCTGCTCTCTGCTTGCAATGACTCTGTCCTTTTGGAGTTGAATCAGATTAGAGAACTGGGCCTCCCTTTTCTTCCCTCAGCTATGTAACTTCTTCATTTTATTTGCCAGAATCAGCCCAACAGTTTTGATATCTGCTTAAAGAAGCAGGCCACAGATAGAATAAACCGTGCACACACACAAACACACACACATTTTGCAATAGTGATGGTTAATTTAAGATGAAAGACATCTCGTGTTGAGGATATGGATGTATTATTATTAAAATAAGTCAAACAAGATATGTTTCTCTCTATATTAGGGCCACATAGCATTATATTGAGAACAAAGAGTGATCGTGTAGAAACTGACATACATTCATACTAAAAGTTATTTTGATGTTTTTCTTAAAAAAAATCATTCTTAACAGAAGAAAGAGTTTTTAACTTTTGTATAACCCCTTAAAGCATTGCTTTTTTTCATATGACTTCCATGCTTCACGAACTTCGGTGATTCACTACTAACATCACCAGATTCACACCTTCACCTTGGAAGTCAAGGTCTATGATAATTTTACCACAGCCTCTGTTTCTAGCTCTCTTATCCACCCCTTGTAGATTTCCTCCTTTTTGTCCATGCTCACTTCTCTCTACTTACTTTTAGCTTTAGCTTTAGTCCTTCCTCCTCAGTGGAAGCTGTTGCTATTAACAATGCTGTCTATGCTGAAAATCTTGACTGGAATCCAAAGACTTCCAAAGCATTTGAGACTGCTAAAGCCCTATTTGCTCCTACAAGGAGAACACCTTGGGAATGGAGTCATCACAGGGGAAGCAGATATGAGAGACAGATCTTAGAATGCCAAGGAGTGATGGATCAAGCTGAGCCTGAAAAATCTCTTCTGGACACTCAGTTATATAAATAAATTCTATTTTTTATTTAAGCATATTTATGTTGGTTTTTTTTGTCATTTTCAAAAAAATTTGTGTTCAACCAATATTCTCAATTCAATAACACCTTCTAGAAACTCCTGGAGCTTTCTTTTTCTTTTTAAAAGATTTTTATTGGGGAATTGTGGGGATGGGAACAGTGCTGGGGAATTGGGGGAAGGGGAACAGACAAGTTGCTGTCGTTTTGTTCTTTAGTCTAGTTGTGGAGGACATTGCTTCACTGGCCCAAGTTGGCACCATCATTGCGCTCTTCCCAGGCGAGGCAGATCAGTCGCCGGCTTCTGGACGGCCGCTCACTGCGGCTGCTGGCCGCTCACGCTGGCTGCTGGCTACATACGGTAGCCCATGGCAACCCACTATAGCAGGGGCTGCAGCCTAGCCGTCACTGGCGACTCACGGGCAGCCCAGCTCCAGGTTGAGCTGTTGTTCAGCATCTTAGCTGTAGAGGGCAGTGTCACTGGCCCTCATATGTGGGATCCGAACCGGGGCCCTCAGGCGTCCCAAGCCAGTTCTTAACCATCGCGCCACTCGGCCGGCCCTCCTGGAGCTTTCTTCACCACAGTCCTAGTTCCCCATCTCTTACTGTAAACACCTTAGAGATTGAGGCTATGTCATTCACATAGGAGATATTCATACTTGAAAAATA